ATGTTCGCTCTTCTTTCGGGACAGCGAGCACTCGTGATGCCTTCCGGTTTCTGTGCCAGGCAGATTAGTTCGTCCTGTCTCTTCCTTTGAAATCCTGTGAATTCCCTCCGTAAAGGAAAGGTTCGGATGCTGCAAATTTCCGGCTTTCACCACAACGATAGGCCCCTTCCCCCGTCGAGACTCCAACAAAGACTGGCTATTATGCGCTCGCATTCAGGCCCGAGTGAGCAGTGCCTGTTGGGCATGGGGAGTCTTTGACACTCCATGCTTCGTTGCGCCCCTTCCCGGCATTCTCCGATGAAATTTCAGAATCGGAATGTACGTGAAATTCTTCATCTCGTTGTCTCCCCGCCCCGAGGAGACCGAGTGATAGCGATTTCGTACGAATCCGACGGTTCGGTATTAACCTGTCGGACGCGCTCGTACTGCGTAAGATCCGAATCGCTCCCAACCTTGAAAGTCAATCGATTCCATGTCTTCGTTATGCATCGTGATTTTCGAGTGCCTTGTAGGTGTCGAGAAAAGCGAATGCATCTAGGAAGGTCACTGCTTGAATAATTTTCAAATGGCCCTAGTAGAACTCCATAATTGAGATAGTCGAGACGGCATTGTCGACGGGCGAACCCGACTGATTTCATCCAGTCAAACGGATTCCAATCCTCTTTGATTCAAATTACAGCGGTTGGTTCGCTCGGTCTCGACGAATTGAGCTGGTTTTGCGTGATTCTGCGATTCCAGACAAAAAATTTCCGCCGAGACTCCGTATCATCATAGCCCGGAGGTCGTGGAAGTCACCTGTGCTCACAATTCGCTCTTTTTTCTTCTCTTTCTTGACCCCGATGACGACAGTGTTGGACGATATCCTTGCGACCGCCTTACAACAGGGGTGAGTTCGGATCCCTGAATCGATGAGGCCTTTCCGTGCGGTCAGATTAAATGGATCGGAAAATCCGGCAAAAAAGGGGAAAGTTCGTCCGCTTTACGGCGAATTAAACTTTCGGCTAAAATGCTTGAAGTCTTTAGTCTTAAATTTATGGCACTTAGGCAAATATCCTTCTGATTCCCGAACAGGTTACATTGAGCAGTTCTCATAATCTTAATCATGCTTAGCTTAGTTCGAGTCCATATAGATGAGGTTTTCACTCATTTGCCTCATTTTCTTGCATATAATTTTATCCTGTCAGGTATAGATAGCTGCACTTAGGGACTCTCGCTGATGCAGTACAGAGTGTCCCCAAATGTCGCACGAGGCTGTTTTGGCAACTTCCGTTTATCATACAGAAAAGTTTATTAATTCGGAAGAACATAAAAAATGAAGCGGGTATCTACATTTTCTTTGAAAGATATATTTTAGCTCGTTGTTATTTTACGGATTCGAACGTTTCAACCTGCAACAATATTTTGATATGCTCCATTGTATATGCTCTTTCAAACGAACATACATTTCTGATATCAAGTCCATATCGTACTTCGTACGATATTTCGAGACAGCCTGTATGGACATTATGGTATGGAAGCGCCATAATGTCCTGTATGGACATTATGGCGCTTATGGGTTTCTGATCGAGGACTCCGGAAGCTTGTCGCTTCCAGCTGCCGAAAGCACGCATTTCCCTTTCGAGCCTTATTCCTAGTGAGTGAAGTGTGCTCATGGCTGAAATTGAGTTTTTATATCCCAATGGGCGGGAGAATCATGCGAGAAATGGAATCTATTCTTGGAATAACATATGCAAGCTTTGTGACGCACAAACTATGACTATGCTTGATGAGGCACGAATACTGTCAATTGTCGAACTGATTCCGAGGACAATTGTTGGACAACTTGATTATTGAAGCCGGATAACATTTTAATATGTGGCAGGGCTTGGCGGTACTTCACCTAGTTCAGTATGATACCGTTATAACGTTTTTCAGGGAACCCAAGAATTTCCATCGTTAAACTGAAAAAAGTAATAATGAAAAATGGGATAAAATATAAACATGACTGAATAACGAATCTAGAGTGTAATAAGCCTGTGCTTACTCATTTCTTGCAGTTGTATGACTTTATTTGTTGTTATCAAATTACCCTGTTATATCAGCTCTAGAAATAAACATTCGATTGCAATATCGGAATATTTTAAATCGAAAGCTCATGTTACACAATCATGTCGGTAAGTCATCACTTTTATTGTTCCAATGTCATCTTGGATGTTTTGTGCCATGTAAAACGGTCTCGTAAATGTTCTTTAGTCTTTTTAGACCTTCAAAATACGAACGTTAATATAAAATATACTTTGAATAGAAAACCGTAATTATGAAATCTTTTTTTGCATTGTTTGAATGGTAAATCTGGAGGGGATTCGTAAATAATACGTTATTCAGAGGAAATCCGTTAATCTGAGGGCAGTTGTAACGGTATTTTACTGCAGTCGATATTTGCAAATCGAGTTAGACGTGCTTCCAAGCAGACAGGCATTCGCCTTTATTGGCTGTCGCTGTTTTGTTCTCAATAGTGCAGCTATTGAGAAGTTATTAGTTTTCATAACTACTGCCTGCGCTTTAACCAATTTTAACTGCTGGGGTGGTCTGTGATTGAGCCATATAATTAAAGTGAGGTGCGTGCGATTTAGAAAAATTCTTGAGGTGGCGCTTGTGAACGTTCGGAATAATTTTTTTTTGCACATTTCTGGGAAGTTAGAAAAGTTCTAAGCAAGAAAAGAAACTTTTATGGGAACTTTCGGGTTTATAAAACATTTGAAGCTAAAATTTAAAAGCGGAAAATTTGTGTTCTTTACTTATAGGCACAGAGGCTTATTTGATGTAGATCTTCCATGCTCATGTCTGGGGAAAGGTTACCAGTCTGATTGGCCGGAAGTCGCATTCTTTTTTACTCTTTCTTGTCTCTAGAGCGTGTACATGTCTGTTTTTAAGTTTCTTAAGTAAATAGATCGGACATTTTTATACAGTATTTAATAACTCATGACCCCTCTTTAACCCTTGACCCTACTTGGGACGTTTTCAACCAACGAACAGTTTCCTCAGCATGTTCAGCACTCCTGTTTTTTGCCCACTCTTCTCAACTACTACTAGACTAGATGGGAAGTCAAAATTCAGAACTGTTGCATCAGGAATGTGTAGTTGTTTCAAATTTTTTCCGCTCAGAGTGAGTAAAGTTCAACTGTCGAAACAGTGATTAGTGCACAGTCCTGTGTGACGCAGTGGTCGTCGGCTTCGATGTCTATCGGGTATATGAACTTTCGAATTAATGCGGATGGAATACCCGATCCGAACTCACCTCTGCCATGCATGGCCTTGACGCTTGGGGTGGGGTGGGAACATTGGGCAGCAACTTGAACTTTTTTTTTTATTACTCAGGAGCACCACCATAATTTCATCAAGGGACGCAAATATCCATTTTGTTTTCCTCCTCTACCCAAAGTCACACATGTTATGAGGAGACCCCATAACCTGCGTTTGTGTAGCTTTCTGGCCTTGCGTTGCCGTTCTGCCTTGCCACTCGCACCCGTATCATATTTTACGTTATCAGCAGTGGCGTAGCCAGGATTTCGCCAATCATTCCGTAATGGCTAAGCGGAACGGTGGTGGGGCTTACTTCTCCTCATCGGTGGGGGTAGCAGATGCATTTTGACCAGAGTTGGGGGGACTTTAACCAAACTTGGGGGGACTTCAGCCCCCCTCGCAATGCCACTGCTTATCTGGGGAAAAAATCAACTGACTGGAGTGCGTGTGTCGTTTCAGTACTCGCAGGTTTTATATGTACTATCTGTAGTGGCTACTAAAGTGCCTTCAAGTGTGTTAGCATGGGATTAGATTGTGGCGTGCATTGAATCTAGAATGGGATCGTGCTCCGCATCGCCAATAGAGCTGACATTCCTTTGTGACGCTATCGGAAAATGGGTCTTATTAGCGACTCTTTCTTTCTTTCTCCCTTCGTATCCCTATCCCGAGAACCCTTCCTGATAGACCTTCTCAGCCATACGCGGGGCTCGAGGAGCTCCCGATTTTCGACGATTCCTCTAGAGAGGGAGAAAGAGAGATTGGGTGGTTCAATTTTAGCCCCCCCCCCCCTCCCGGATGGTTCTCGTGGGCGTGGGTTTTGTGTCAGATGGAATGGCAGTAGAGTGGCCCAGAGTCGTATGGTTCCAGAAGAACGGAGCGGCATGTGCTCTTTCTGTTTCTTCTGCTTCCCTCTCTATTGATGATCGATCTCTTCCCTCCATTTCTCTCCAGTGTCTCCAGCCACATTCGGTTCCACTCTCCTTCCGCGGAAAGATTGTTGCCTTTTTTCGTCCCCACTTATTTCTTTCTTGTTTTCCCCAGTTATTGAAGAGGTTCCTTTGGCATTGGGAGCGTTCAAGCATTACGGTCAGAACTAACTTTTTAGCTCTTAGCCTCACTGCTCCCCACGTGATCAACCATAACCAAATGGCAGTAATCAGAGGTTAGCGAAATTTCCTTCAAACTTGTATTGTATTTTCATACAAAATACCATTGCTTTTGGACATTTTTATATAATAATATTACAAAATATGTATTTGAAGAACTCTAAAAAAAAAATTGCAATATATATTACTTTGAAAAATAGTTAGAAACAAAAAACTTTTGAAATGCCTCTCTGATGCAAAATACGAGCACACAAATGTATTTGAAACAAAAATACTTGAAATATGGCCCACTGTGACCATCATCCCTTCCCAGTCTTCATGATGCTCATGACTTTCGTGCCGTGAAATATGTTGAATTTTAAGGTTTCATCGTAAAGCCGAATGGTATTTTTGTTTTCCTTCTCGTTCGGTCTTGACGAATATGTAGTGTGACCACTGATAAAGTGATATGAATATGGGAGGGGGGGAGGGAGCCAAACATGCTTGGGTCAGCATCGCCCTTACCCCCCTCGCCCTCCATGAATCGTCTTCTAACCCCTACCTAGTCCCCTCTCTATACTGATTTAATACATGAATCTTCCCATTCCTCAGTTGTCATTCTTGTTACTAAAGGTTCACGATGATGGTGGTGAGGAGGATGAAGAGGACGGGAAAGGCTACCGTCAATGCCCTCTTTCTTGTCTACATTGTTCTGAACACGGATAATGAATGTGAATTTCTTCAGAGTTGGTCAGAGTGAAGTATAGTATACAAAATAAAAGAAAAAGAAAACTTGATAATGGAGAAGGTGGGCGCCATATTTGGGGGGAGTTCAGGGGGTTCCTTCCCCAGCAGGCAAAGGTCACTGAAAGACCGGTTGAGAGATGCTCGGGATGGCATCGCTTCCAGCCTTGCCTGGCAGTGAGTTCACCTTATGGCTACATTAGTCATCCATCAGCAAGCCCGCCCAGATGCTCTTTTCCTAGCCTAGTTTACAGTAATGTCCCATTGCTTTTGCAAACGGAGCTCTTTCGTTGGCCATCTCGCTTATATTTTCACGATTGAAATTTTCTACGCCGTATATACAGTATTTACAGCCAAAATCTTGTAATGATGTTTAAGTGGTCAACTTATGGCAGGAAAACCGAATAATTTGGGCTTATGAATGTAAATATTGAGAATGCTTCGGCATAGTTTTCAACCTTTTATCTGGTCGTTGATCCCTAGGAGCAAGAGTCGGAGCGTGGACAGAGTTCTTCCGTCATCGGAAACTGGGAGTCCACCGATTGATGCCGTGATCTCATCTACGTTTCCCCAGAAGGGTGAGCTGGCGATGTTTATTATAAATGGTGTTGGAGCGTATGTATCAATACATTATTTTACTGAATGCATGTTTTAACCGTGAGTTCCTATATTTATACTGAAATAATTTTGGAAGCAGAGAATTTCAGTGCCCCTCAGATATAAAGACTACAGAGATGTACTGCACACTTGCCTACATGTTTTACATTTTTGTATATTTTAGATTTGGAATCGTAAGGGATGGTAGTACCCCATACTGTAGTCAGCATTTTTGCAAAATTGATTTCTCCTGTGCAACTTTTCACTCCTACCTCCTGGATTTTCGCTGACAAATATGCTCCAAAGTTGAAAAATTTTATTCGATTTCCTCCTAGGTCTGAGTCCCCATAATTTAAAATGTTATGATGCAGTACTTTTGGAGATCTGGAAGTGTCACTGAGGATCTTGTTCCATTTTTTTTTCTTCTGGTAAAGCTCCAGACAGTTCATCCTAGAGTAAAAACTAATTAATCAATTTAAAAAATGAAGTACCTACCAACAGACTCGTCTTACCCTGGGTTGTGCCTTTTAGGAATGGGAGTGCTGAGCTATTAAGACTACAAGGTACATTCATTAAAGTTCTAAGCTTATCCAAACTAATGAACTTGGTCAATGATAATGGTGTATGGTTTTGGGGTACCTAATACTGGTCAAGAACAGGAGTTGCTGAGGAAGAACTTACTATTGAAATGTCCACTGGTTGTCCTACAGAAAGAACTGCAGGACGAGTATCCATAAGTTGATATTATTGGACTTGATTATGTGCCTTATGAGATTATCAAGTGCTGAGCTACTACTGGCAATGTTGAAAAGTACTTTCAGTGAAGTACTGGGTTAATTCACCTTTTCAATGCCAAAGGTGACTTCAATCACCCACAGTTCTATTACCTCTTCAAAGTCTATGCAGAAAAAGGATTAAGCACATGAGGTGTCTTGTGACTTTTCAGCATGAGGTTGTGCCTTCTAGAGCACCTATGATTGAACAGGTTCAGTGGCTCTAAGAGTACTTAAAACCCTTACTGGACTGGACTGATTCTGATACATAAGGGACCAAGGGGTTCAACTGATTCCTTTGTGCACTCTTTAGTATTGGCAAGTACAACAAGATGGCACCCAAAAATATTATCTTGAGTATAAAAAAAAAACTTGAGTTGTTCATGACTTAGAAGGTCTTTAGGGACTTGTAGCACCTCTGAAATAACTTATTTTGGTTTCAAGTACCATACAGGTGTGCCAGATGATCCAATACTCAGATGAAAAACAGAATATACTAGCGGCCTGCGGCCGCTACGCTGGCCGTCTAGTATGTGGAAATTTGAATCGTCTATTATGAGCATAACGTCTTCTTGACAATCCTCTGTTCATTGCATTACCCATTCGGTACTGAACCGTTTCATTACATTTATACATATATAGCTTACAGTACACAGGGAGATTCTGATCCTAAACACCATCATCATGATATTCGAGCTGATTGCCACAATCGCCATCGTGAACGCCTCGGTTTAGCACGTTTTCATGAGACTCAAGACGACATTGCTGATTTCGTCTTCCTAGCACATTCAACACTCTTGCATCACCGATTAGCTCATGGGCTATTAGCGTTAGCGCATGGTACAGGCACCAATGATTCTTAAACAGTACGGACCGTTTCCAAGAACTTGTTCGACGACACAGAGGGAAGTTAGTGCATGTGCGGCACAATGCTAAAGACTAATTCCTGAAAATGCCAACCTTGCATCAAGTTGCTTAGCAGGCTGCACGGCTCTCCTATTCCGGAGCTCAGCATTCACTGCCTCCTGCTGTTCACCGGTCTGAGCTCCCTATGCTCCCTACGTATATGTGCTTGCTGTTTATCACCGATTCTAACCATTACGGCTAGCACCGATTTAGGCACTTCGTACCGCAACTGCAGTGGCAAACGTTTTTTCCGCGCCAGCACCAACCGTTTTTTACCAGCAACAACTGCCTCATCGCCGTCCTGCGGGACCTCTTTCAACATTTCGTCATCGCGTTCAACCTCACCTCGCAAAAACTACACCTCGGGTGCACCTCGTTTGCGCGACATATGAAGCAGAGACTTTTTAGACTATTATTTTGACTTCATCAATCATGAGAACTAAAAAAAATCGGCCATGACATGAAACGCAAATAGAAAACTATTGCATGGAAACGATGGCGCGAACCGCCACGTCTGACCTAACGGAAAAAAATAGATACAGAAGAAAACACCTCAGCAAAGAGTGTATTCAAATGAAGAACTTGCAGTCGATCAGTGAAAACGTGACACGCATTCAGTTCGTAGCACCCTTTGCTTGACACAGCTAAGTATGAAGCCTATGGCTGAGACTGCTATAGCCCGAAAGACCTGGCGCTAAGTGCGTTGGATGACCTAGCCTATGGCCTAGAATAGCATAGCCTCAAGGACCTGGCGCTTTGAGGGGTGGATGGCCTAGCCCATGGCATGAAGTGACATAGTGTTGTAGGCCTCGCGCGGTGGGGTAACAACCACCACCATCACAACTCTCGGGCTCTTCGAATTAAAGTATAAGATGCACATTGTTGTCCTACAAGAACAACTGAATGAATCTTGCAAATGAGACATCAATCGATTCATCACAACCCCCACATTTGTCTCTTCAGGTATTAAGTACTGAAATATTGGACACTTCATGATTGTAATGAAAAAATTGAGTATGTAGAATGTCCTAAAGCAAAGATGACAGGATCAATTTGAATTAAAGGCCTATCTTTGGACTCCACCCATCCAAAGTGAATGTGTTGTGCACATTGAAGATTTGAAGTAGGGTTGCTTGAAGCTAGTGGATTCCTCTGAGGTAAGTGCCTGCTTAAATGATCAGACCTTTAGAACAGCAGTTCCCAGACTTCTTTGAATCGCAACCCACTTGCTGACTTCCAGAAAATTTCACAACCCACTGGAATCCAGAACGAGGTATTTTCAAAGTAATTATGAAGTGAGGAAAACTAATCGACATTTTCTGCAGGGCGTGTTTTATCCTGAGCGGATGGAAATATAATGACTTTTTATACTGGGAAAATGTACCAACCCACCTTGATGCCTCTCGCAACTCACCAGTGGGTGGCGACCCACAGTTTGGGAACCACTGCTTTAGAAGATATGAAAGTACAATTTTTTTTTAAGTGCTTGGTACCTTATATAACCTTGCTCTATATATGACAGTTACAGTTGTTAATATTAAATAATGCTTGTTACAAATATACCTGAGTGTGTTGAAGCAAGAGTGTGAGCCTCAGAAAACACTTTTCAACAATTCACGCTGCCCTGATTTGTGAAAATCTTGGTTTATTTCATAGTGGACTTGAATGAGCTTGACCAACACAAGAATGATGAGTCAGCAAAGTCAGCTTGCATCATCCCCCTCATGGTGTTGTAGAGGTCCCTTTGTGTCAAAGTCTTGGGCATCCTTCCTGAAGGAATTGCTGGACCAACAATATGAAGAAAGAAAATTTCTCACTTTAAGCACAGCTGGGCACAGGAGATTAGGGGCTGATTTTGTTCTTCATTAATTTGTATTCATTGGCCTGTAAGGAATTCTCTGAGAAATCTTGAGAAGTATTTCAAATTAACTTCATAAATTTACCTTGTCATTAGAAGTAGTTCACCAATCACCTATATAGGATCTAATAAATATCATGAGGTATGCATATACATCAGGAGTAAAACTATGCATACAATAAGCAAGATCCACCTTTAGGTACACCTTTGGATCACACTTGATGAAAACACAGCAACAAGAACAGTCATATTACATGACCAAATTTTGTCACAATTTGGCATCAAATACCTATATTTTAAGAAAAGTTTGAATCATTGACCTTTTGCACCATGTAATGGCTAATAAAGGACATGGGGAAGGCCTGAAGAAATAGTGATATAGGACAAAGACTTCAATCTGTAACTTTTAATGACAAAATATTTTTTCTTCCTCCATTTCCAAAATATTACTTTTGTCCAAGAATTTCCAACTTTTGTACAACTGTGGACTGGTAAGAAGTAACTGTAAAACTTTGCTTTTTTAACATTGAGGTAATTACACAAATATTGAGGTAAAATTCCATTAGACAGGGCTCTCATTTGAAAGGTTTCTGTCAAGAATTAAAAAAAAAAAAACAGGGATTGACTATTGTCTCTTAGCAATATCCTTCCTGTAAGTAATGTGTATGTCAATAAGTAAGAACTACTAGCTCAAAAAATGATTGATTAGTTGACTGTGCTCAGTTTCATATGCAGTTTGTAAAACTGTCATTAATTTTTGCAAAAAATTGCATCTTACTTTGAGTACATTTATTGATCTAATGTGGAACATTCGAAAGAATTTTCTAAAATATTGACGCAGAATTCCTGGGGTAAAAATTAATTCAGAATCTTGCTTTTGAGGGTGCAATTCCATATCATTCTTAATCTGCTACGTGGCAAATTGTTTTAGGCATCTAGTGCTTAGTTCAGTGGGAATAAACCTGAATAAATTTGTCAATCCCACAGCATAAAAGCACTTTTTATGCAGAGCCACAATGAAACATCCAAATTGCATGGATGAAATGAGGTGGTCTTGTCAGTAATTCACATCCATATTCTTTTGCAATGGAGTTATATTGATAGTGATGCTCATACTTCTATATATACTTTTAATTCATCCAGCAGTATTCAAAACTTGAACCAATACTAGTATTAACATTGCAATATTCTGCAATAGGAATCTTCTACCTGTCTTGTGTACATATGATTATGACTGTATGAATGAGATAAAGAGGGGGGGGGGGAAGAGGAGATGGAATGAAGTCGAATGGATTTGGGGTAATGGATCTCGTGGGGAAGATTGGTTGCGTCTGACGTCATGAAACTACCCGCTGTATCCAGGTGGGATGCGCCCTCCTAGGCTAAAGCTCTCTTTTATTGCATCCCTCCCCATCGCAAATATTGGACGCCTCCTGTTTATACG